CAACACTTCCATCATCTCCATCCACCACCATCACAGCACTGACTCCAACCAATACCTCGGGATCAACATCTCCATCCAACACCACCACGGCACCATCTTCAACCAGGACACTGGGATCAACACCACTTTCCACCCCCTCATCCAATGCCACCACAGCACCAACTCCATCCCACACCAGTGTGTCCAGATCCACAGAGCATCCATCCAACTCAACAGCACCAACAGGTCCCAATAGCACCAGTACTGTCACCACCAGCTCCAGAACCACAGCAGTCACTGGCAGCACAGCTGGTAACTTCGGTGAGAGCCAGGCTGGGGGGCACTGGCCAGATGGAGGACCTGGGTATGGGTCCCTCCTAGATCCCCCACTTGGGGCTGCACTCACAGGAGGGCTCAGGGTGCAGGTCCCAAGGTGAGCCCAGAGCCTCCCTGGCTGCTCCCCCCTCCTTGGGGGTGTTGTTTAGGGCTCCCCTTTTCTCCCCCAGTCTCTGCCAGCTCTGGGCTGGTCCCCCACTGGTGGAGGTGACACAGGAGCTGGGTGCCAGGTCTGTGATGGGTGGGGTGGTGGCAGTCGGGTGACTGGAGCCAGTCTTGAGCCACCTCTTTCTCCGTGGTGCTTGAAGGCTGGGCACGAGTCTCAGTGGGAGGGGGGGAACAACGGGGTGCCAGGGGGAATAACGAGGTGCCAGGGGGAATAACGAGGTGCCAGGGGGAATAACGGGGTGCCCGTCTGACCCCCACAGAGCAGCACCCCACTGAGCCGAGCCCCGGTGTGGTCGTTGTCATCTCACTCGCCGTCTGCCTGCTGGTGGCGGGGGTGACCGTGCTGCTGGTGCGGCTGTCCCGGCGCGGGACCCCGCGCTTCCAGCACCTGGATGAGGTGCCCATGGTGCGTAAAGGGGCCGGGGGTGGCGAGGGAGGATTTAAGGGGGGCAGCAGGTCCAGGGTGCGGGCGCTCACCCCGCTCTCTTTCTCTTCTTCCCCAGAGCAAAGTGATGGAGGGGACCCCTGTCACCCTCAGCTGACACCCCCCGCTTCAGCCCCCCGTGCTCCCCGCGCTGCTGAATAAAAAAGCTGCTGCCCTGCTTCTGGTTTCCAGTCTGCCATGTGCTCTGCAGCCTGCCTGGGGAAAATCCCCGCTCCCCCGGGGGAGGTCCCAGCGGCTTTGGGGGTCCCCCAGCCCGGGCTGGGAGCCCCGGGGGTGTTCCCGGGCCGGCGGGGTTTGGTGCGGAGTGCGCGGCGGTGATGCCCGGGGTGGGGGGGAGCCGCGCAGCCCCCCCGGCGAGGTGGGATGGGAGGGAGGGAGCGAGCGGCCAGGCACGCACATCGCCTTCCTTCTGCTCCGCTGCACTCGGCCGGGGCCGCGCTCGCCGCGAGGACCGGGCACCGGTAAGAGGCTGCGGGCGGGGCCGGGGGGGCTGGCGGCGGCGGGGACCCCTGTGCAGGGCATCAGGAGTTCTTGGGATTGGGATGAGGCCGCTCCCAGTGCTGGGAAATCCCGGGGGGCTCGGTTCTGGGGACTCTGTGGGTGTAGCCGTGCGCCCCGGTGTGCCCCGGTTCTCGGCAGGGTGGGTGGCAGGTGTCCGGGGTGGAGCATTAACGTGGCACCGGTGGGATCGCGACTTTGGTGGGTGCTGCGGGCTGGGGGTCACCCCCCCGCCGTGGCCTCAGATCCACGTCCCTGTCCCCATCCAGCCCACGGGAGTGGGGCGGGGAGGGCCCCGAAACCCGAGGTAGGGGCTGAGACTCGGTGGCCATAAATCACGGTGGGGAGGAGCCCGCGTGTCCCGGCCCCGGGGTGTCCCCAACCGCGGGAGGGGGGTCCCCGCCGGAGAGCCCCTCCCGGCCGCGGTTCCCGGAGCTCCCCCCCCACAGGGACGGCGATGAGACGGAGCCGGACAGCCCTGTCCTTCCTCGGCGCGGAGGTGAGACCGGCACCGGGGGCTACCGGGGGGGGAAGGCGAGGGGTGTCCCGGGGGGCGAGGGGTGTCCCCGGTATGAGCGTCCCAGCGCCGGGCCCCCGGGCAGCAATAACCGGGCTGGCGGCGCTGAGCGGGAGTTAATTATCCCCTTAATGGGCGGTTAATTATTATTCACCTCTGCGTAATTGCGCGCCGGCTCCGGGGGTTTTTCCGGTGGGGTCCCGGGGGAAATCAGGGGGGTCCTCTCCTGTGGCGGCAGGAGAAGGAGGAGAACGGGGAGAGCCCCGGTGGCTCCGTGCGCTGCGGGCGGAGCCGCTCCCGGTGCAGCGGCTTTGCCTTTCCCCGTGCGCCCCTCGCCTCGGTAACCCCCCGGTACCCCCGCCTGCAGCGCCGCACCGTGTCCGCCAGAGGGCGCCAGCGCGCTACCGGCGCTCGGTACCGGCGGGCGCGGGCGGGGGGCGCTGCCCGGGCGAGACCCTCGCACCGGGATCAGCCGGGACCCCCCGGGGCCGCTCCCCTCGCCCCTCACCGCTGCTCCATTTCCCGGCAGCGCTGCCGCGATCCCGCCGAGGCCGCTCCGTCCGGTCCGGGCCCGGGAGCGGCGGTGGGCGCCGTGCGCCGGCGTTTCTCCGGGACCCCGTTGCTGCCTCCGCTCGGCTGCCGTTTGGCGGAGGCGGCCCGTGCCCCCGAGCCCGAGGCTGCCCGGGTGGTGTTCACTATCGAGGAGAGCGGCCCGAGCAGCGGAGATGAGGCCGAGCCCCCCCGGTAAGGGTAGGACGGGGAGCGAGGAGGTGATGCCCCGGTGGCACCGGGAACGGGTAACCGGGCAGGGCACGGCTGGAGGGGACGCTCCCGCTTCAGCACCGGCGGCCGGACAGCGGCACCGGGGCAGAGCACCCGGTGGGTTGGGGACAAGCCCCTCTGTCACCAGCTCCGCTGCTCCAGCCCCGGGATGTCCGTTCTGATCACCGGCTGTCCCTGTCACCACCCCCCTCACTCCTGTCCCCCACTGTCCCCACCACGCCGTCCCTTTCCTCACCCCCTCCTTGTCCCCATCCCGTGGCCCAGCCAGAGCCACCACAGGGCTGGCCTGGCCTTGCCCGAGGTGACCTCGCTCCCTCCTGCAGTGGCTCGGGCCCAGCTTTGCTGCTGCAGGGCTATTTTTGGGCCATTCCCCCTGTCCCGTGCCTCTCCCAGCCCGGCTTGTGGGGACAGCAAGGAGCTGGCACAGCCGAGGGACATGGCTCTGGTGTCACTTGTCCTCCACCCCTGCACAGACACGTGGGGACAGTGACACTCCGATAAGGACCGGCTGTCCTGGGGACAGGGACTGGCTGTCCTGTGGCCAGCCCAGCCCTTGGTGCCAGCCAGCACAGGGGGCTCTTCCCTCTCTCCCACATCCCCTGATGTCCCTCTGTCCTGCTGTCCCCACCGTCGTGCTTGAAGTTCCTTGAAAGCAAAGGTGACTCCTCCAGGACCCCCCATCCGGTGGATTTTGGGGTCCCCACTGACACTGTCATGGCAGGGGGGCCCTGTGATTGTCCCTCCTGGCTCCCTGCCAGCTGCTGGATATTTTTGTGGCCATCAGGAACAGCAGGTAGCCACATCCTGCTGCATCAGGCGCTGGGCAGGTGCCAGCTCCCACAGCCAGGCCAGTGGGTCCCCCACAGTGTCACTGTCACCAGCTGGACCTCACCCTGCTGCTCCTGTTCTGCTCGGGAATGGCTCCAGGAGGGGACAGCACCAGGGAGGGGCTGGGGCACGATGTGGGGAGGGTTTGGCTCTCACAGGTCCCTCGGCGGCACCATGGCACCTCCACACCACGTGTCTGGGATGCTCCATGCTCAGCTGTGTCCCTTGGTGGCACCGTGGCACGGCCACATCGCGTGTCCAGGATGCTCCACGCTCATTTCTGTCCCTTGGTGGCACCGTGGCACGTCCGCTCTGTACGTCCGGGTCCCTGGGCGCTTCGTGGGGCATTTTTCCGTGTGCCCAGGCAGAGCACCCCTGCCCTTTCAGGAGCAGCTGCCGCCTCGGGGACAGCAGGGTGGCCGGTGGCACCGGGCCAGCGAGGGGCCACGTGCCCGGGCCGCCAGGCACACCGGGGGGGGACCCGCTCCCTGCGCCGGCTGCCGGAGCCAGACAGTTGTTTAATTTCCCAGGCGCAGGGCGGGAGGGGGATGGAAAGTTTCCCGGCGGGGCTGCCGGGGCCGGGACGGCCGCACGCTTCCTGCTCCGCACCGGGGCCAGCGGGGCCTCGCCGCCCGCCCGGGGGTCCCTGAGCCGGGCCATGCTGCCCACCACGCACTGCTCGCCGGGGGCTTCTCCGGCCACGTCCCCCCGCAGTTCCCCCCGCAATTCCCCCGTCTTCTTCAGGAAGCTCCTGATGAACCAGAGCATCCGCCTGCAGCGGCGCTTCACCGTGGCGCATCCCCTCTGGTAAGGGGGGGACGCTGGCGGGTCCCCGCGGGGGGGGTGGCACCAGGCTGTGCTGCCGGGGATGGGGACAGTGGCTCCCCCCAGAGTTGTGGCACGTCCTCACAGGGACGAGGAGGGGGACGAGGAGGCGACACCGGGTGTCCCCCACATGGTGAAGGGCTGAGCCGGGCAGGGGGAGGCGCCGGGCGAGCGGTGCTGAGCACGGACACGCTCATGGCAGCGATGGCCAGGCAGGGACCCGCGGTGGGGTGGCCCGGTGGGCACGGAAAAGGGGCTCTGCCCTCCAAATCAAGGCACCGACCCACCCACCGCGGCTCTTCCCTGCCCTCCCCACCTCGGAGCTCTGGGGGGTTGGTTTTGGGGTGCCGGCCCCACCTGCGCGGTCGCCGTGGGGCTCAGCACATCCCTCCTTAGCAGCCACAGCATCTATTTATAGCGGCCCCGGCCGCCCCCCCCGCCACGGACACCGCTCGGAGGTCATTAACGCCGAAACGAAGGGGGTTAATTGGGCACCAACCCCGTGGCGGGGGCTCGTGTCCCCCGGGGCTGTCCCCTGCGGTGGCAGCGGGGTCAGGGGTGGTGGCACGGGGCCGGGAACAGACGCGGGCATCACCCCGCGGGGCCGTCGGAGGGACAATGCGGCTTTGTGTCGCCGGTACCATCGGGGATGGGAAGCCGAGGCAGGAAAACAAGGGGCTGCGGGATGGCATGACGCGGTGCCGGCTGGCACTGCCACTGCCGGGGACAGCCGTGCCACAGCGACCGGGGCTGCCGGAGCGGGACGATGCTGCCGGGCAGCCGGTGTCCGTCCCGGAGGCATTCCTGCATCGGGTAGGTGCTGGGTTCCCGCTGGGGACACGGTGGCCCCACACGGTGGCATCTGCGCTTTTCCCCGTGTTCTAGGGTGGCTTGTCCCTGTCCCCACGGCGGTGGCGGCTACGGGAGGGGACAGGAGCTGGATGGCCCTCACTGTGTCCCTGTTGCGTGCAGCCTTTCCCATGACCCCGGGGCCGGCAGTGAGGCGGCCGCGGCCAGCTTGGGGACACTGCAGGGTCACCAGCAGTGTCCTCTGTCCCTCCTGGATGTACACGGCTGCCAGGTGACTCCGGTTGGGGTGCCCCTGGGCTACCGCCAGCGAGTCCCCAGGGGCCAGGGCTTGGCTTCTGCGTCTGTTTCTGTCCTTCGATGTCCCCTGGCTCTGTGCCGTGGCTGGGATATTGTCCCCTCCATGGGACACGGCACCTCGAGACTGGGCTGATGGAGGCTTTGGGGCTTTGGAGGACTTGGGACCGTGGTGCTGGTGACAGGTAGGGGGAGGGACAGGCAGGAGCCAGCCCTTCCTGGGGTCTCTGGAGCTGGGAGCTTCAGGGCAGTGGGTCCTGTCCCACCTGGGTGACATGGGACAGCTTGGCTCTGCTAGTCGGTGTCCCAAGTGCCCGACCCCCGTGTGCCAGCAGGGTCCATGTGCACCGAGCTGTGTTCGTTCCCGGCAGCAGGTGGAGGAGCCAGCAGGGCCGGACTGGGCACCAGTGTCACCACAGGGTCACCAAGCCCCAGAATGTGCTGGGCAGAGTGACATGGTGGCACAGAGAACCCGACAAACCTGACAGCATCCCCTGGGCCGAGGTCCCTGTGCCACCGCGCCCCGTGCCAGCCTTGTCCCCTCTCCTTTCACAGCTTTGACCTGGAGAATGGCCCCCCCGGCCGGGGCGCGCTGGACCCCCAGGCCAGCCCGGGCGCGGGGCTGGTCCTGCAGGGCACCTTCTCTCACGGCCAGCGCCGCGAGTCCTTCCTGTACCGCTCCGACAGCGACTACGACCTGTCCCCAAAAGCCATGTCGCGCAACTCCTCCATCGCCAGCGACCTGTGAGTGTCCCCCCTGCCCACATCCCCTGGGACCCCCCGAGCCTCTCCGAGCCTCCCCTCACGCTCCCTGTGCTCCCGCAGGCATGGAGAAGACATGATCGTCACACCCTTTGCCCAGGTAGGTGCCACCGCTGTGCCCTGCCCAGGAGGGGACACGGCCAGCAGCGAGGGGGGTGTCCCGGGGGGGTCCGCCCGAGCCCAGCCCCCTCTCTCGCCCCGCAGGTCCTGGCCAGTCTCCGAACCGTCCGCAGCAACCTGACCCACCTGCAGGACCGCGCTGGCATCAAGTGAGTCGGGGGTGGGGGGGGAGGTTGGGAGGGCGAGGATGTCACCTGAGTGGGGACCCCAACCCATGGCAAGCGGGGGGGCACCGCTGCGGGGGTCCCAGCTACTCAGCCCCCCGTGTTTCACAGGCGAGGATCGAGCAGCAGCCTGCCCTCGGGGAGCAAGGCCAGCCTCTCCGGTGAGTGCCGCGGGGACGGTGCTGGGGAGATTTTGGGACGAGCTGGCTGTCCCTGTGTCCCCAGGGTGTGTCTTGCCGTGCCCTGGGGGGGTGCAGCAACGCCCCCCCCAAACCAAGGCAGAGCTGCGGCTTTGCCCTTCGGGATCCATGTCTGGTTTTCGGCAGCTCCTCCCGCCTGGCCGCCCTTCGCGGTGGTGGAAAAGCTCCCGTTGACGTCAAACCTTCCATTAATAAAAGCCCGGCGGTGAGCGGGGCCCCGCGGGAGCCCGGCTGCCCCCGGGGCTGGCTGTCACCCCACGGGACAGCGTGGCACACCGCGTGCCGGGGCTGCCACGCCATGGGGACAACGTTCCGGGGCTAAGCCCCGCTGCCCAGGGATGCCCGACCCCGACCCCCGCGTCCCCCCGTGCCCCCCGCCACCCTGCTCGGGAGGTGCTGTGGCTCCCCGTGCTGGGGAGCCCCCGGGTTTGGTGTGGCACCAGCCCCCCCGTGCCGGGTGGCCGCGCTGCTGGCAGGTCCCTTGCCAAGCTGGCGGGTGCCCCCAGCAGAAGATGCCCACCAGAAGCTCTCGCGGGAGACCCTGGAGGAGCTGGATTGGTGCTTGGACCAGCTGGAGACGCTGCAGACCAGGCACTCGGTCAGCGAGATGGCCTCCAACAAGGTAAGGGACCCTGTCACAGTCACCTCGGTGGGTATGGGGGACCCCAGAGCCCCCCAGGATGTCCTGCCAGCCCCTCACACCCTGCCATCCACCCACAGTTCAAGCGGATGCTGAACCGGGAGCTGTCGCACCTCTCGGAGACCAGCCGCTCCGGGAACCAGGTCTCCGAGTACATCTCCAGCACCTTCCTGGGTGAGGACCCCCCAGCCCGGGGTCACCTCCCTGCTGGCAGCAGGGTGGGCTTTGTGTCCCCAGAGAGCTGGGGGATGATGCCAGCCGAGGGTCCCACGTGCTTCTTGTGGAGGGATGGAATGGGGGGACCAGGGGGCTTTTCCCAGGTGTCCCAGTGGGATTTGCTGCCTTGGAGGTGTCACAGTATTTGTCCTGGTTGGGAGTGCTGGCTCATACTGGTGTGTACTGGTGCACTGGGGCTGTTGGGGCCATCCTTGTGTGCCAAGGAGTGTCCAGGAGTCTCTTGGCAGATATGTGGCCCGTGGATGGGGGGTGAGGTAAAGCCCTCCAAATTGTCACAGTGTGACCTGTGCCTGTCTTCAGCGTGACCCGGGGTGAGGGGGGGGGATGCTGGCACTGAAATTTGGGCTCCTGCCCTGCTCACGTCCTCCCCGTGTCACCCCAGACAAGCAGCACGAGGTGGAGATCCCCTCAGCACTGACAAAGGACAAGGAGAAGGAGCGGAGGAAGCGCCCCATGTCGCAGATCAGCGGTGTCAGGAAGCTCACGCACAGCTCCAGGCTGGCCGCCGCCGGCATCCCCCGCTTCGGGGTGCGCACGGAGCACGAGGCGCTGCTGGCCAAGGTGGGCCCTGGCAGGGGTGACCCACCTGACCACGGGGGTCCCCAGCACCAGCCCCCCCCCCCCCCCCACCATGGATCTCTGTCCCTCTGGTCCCCAGGAGCTGGAGGACACCAACAAGTGGGGGCTGGACGTGTTCAAAGTGGCCGAGTACTCAGGGAACCGCCCGCTCACCGCCATCATGTACAGCATCTTCCAGGTGAGCATCCCACCGGGCTGTCCCTGTCCCTGCGCCCGCATGGGGACACAGGAGCCACCTCCTGCCTCCCCACAGGAGCGTGACCTGATGAAGACCTTCCGCATCCCCGTCAACACCTTCATCACCTACATGCTGACGCTGGAGGATCACTACCACGCCGACGTGGCTTACCACAACAACCTGCACGCCGCCGACGTGGCGCAGTCCACGCACGTCCTCCTCTCCACACCTGCCCTGGAGGTGATTCCCGGTCGCCTGAGGCCACCCAGGTGTGCCTGGCGGGGCCTTGACGTGTCCCCAATGCTTTTTCCCACCCATTCCTAGGCTGTCTTCACGGACCTGGAGATCCTGGCTGCCATCTTCGCCAGCGCCATCCACGATGTTGATCACCCCGGGGTCTCCAACCAGTTCCTCATCAACACCAGTGAGCTGGGGCACAGGGAAGGACCTGGGGGATATTTGGGGATCCCGGGAGTCACCCCGGGGTGACCAGTGGCATCTCACAGACTCGGAGCTGGCCCTGATGTACAACGACGCTTCGGTGCTGGAGAATCATCACCTGGCCGTGGGCTTCAAGCTCCTCCAGGAGGAGAACTGCGACATCTTCCAGAACCTGAGCAGGAAGCAGAGGCAGACACTCCGTAAAATGGTCATCGACATGGTATGGGGGGGCTGGACCACCCCGGGGGGGGTCTGGGCTGGGGGATCAGGCTGAGACCTGTTCCCACCTCTCCCTGCCCAGGTGTTGGCCACGGACATGTCCAAGCACATGAACCTGCTGGCAGATCTGAAAACCATGGTGGAGACCAAGAAGGTGACCAGCCTGGGGGTGCTGCTGCTGGACAACTACTCCGACCGGATCCAGGTGGGGGCACACCTGGGGAATCCTTCCCAGCACTGCAGGTGTCCATCCTGCCTCTGGCCTGCCGGGATGTCCCATTCGGTGCCACCACCCTCCCAAACCCAACTCGGGGAGCCAAGCGAGTTTGTGGCACAGTTTGGGTGGCCCTGAGGGACAGAGGACACGGTGTCCGTGCCCACAGGTCCTGCAGAACATGGTGCACTGTGCCGACCTCAGCAACCCCACGAAGCCGCTGGAGCTGTACCGGCAGTGGACCGACCGCATCATGGTGGAGTTCTTCCACCAGGGCGACCGGGAGCGGGAGAAGGGCATGGAGATCAGCCCCATGTGTGACAAACACACCGCCTCCGTGGAGAAGTCCCAGGTGGGGCTGGCAGCCTGGGGACAGGGTTGGGGACGCAGGGCCGGGCAGGAGGCTCAGCTCTGCCTCCCCCCAGGTGGGATTCATCGACTTCATCGCCCACCCGCTGTGGGAGACGTGGGCAGATCTCGTGCACCCCGATGCTCAGGAGCTGCTGGACACGCTGGAGGACAACCGCGAATGGTACCAGAGCATGATCCCCCGCAGCCCCTCGCCTCCGCCCGAGGGACCCGCGGTGTCCCCCGCCAACACCGACAAGTTCCAGTTCGAGCTGACGCTGGAGGAGGAGGAGGAGGGTGAGTCGGACACGGAGCTGGAGGGGGCCGAGAGTCCCTTGGACGAGGACAACAGCGGCTCCAAGACCCCAGGCACGGATGACTCGGAGTGTGCCGACACCAAGCGCCTGTCCCCAGGCCCCGGGGACCGGGACTCGCCTGTGCCCCGCCCCAGCGACGTGGACAACCGGCGGGCACTGGAGGGGACACTGCCGAAGGATGGTGGCAGCGGGTGCTCCGTGCCTGAGGGCAGCCAGGGGCTGTGCCTGGACACAGAGGGCAATGTCACATTCCTGTCCCTGGGCACGTAGCAGCACCGGCCCCTGGGTCCCCTCGCTGCTGGGGGACGTGGGACTGCCCTGAGCGATGCTGGGGACAGTGGGGAGCTGGCACTGGGCAGCACTGTAGGGACTCGGAGGCACCCAGGTTGTGTCCCCGTTTGGGAGCTGGGCAGGTCCTGACAGGTACGAGGATGCTGCTGGCCTTCTCCCTGCTCCCAGCTGCTGGGAAAGGTCCTTGTCCCCTTCAGACACGGCATGGGGACACCGTGCTCTGCCCCCAGCCCAGCCCTGGGGACATCACACCCCACAGGGCTGCAGGAAGGAGCATTCCAGCACCTTTCCAGGTGTCCCCTTGCAGGACAGCAGCCCCATGGTGGGGTGAGGTGAGCAAAGGGTGCTGGTGACACCCCCAGCACGAGGCACCCCCAGGCACCGGCGCACGGAACGGGCACGACTCAGAGGTTTATTTATTTGGGGATAGGTTCACTTTTTAAAGCCTTTTGTAGCTCACTTTTTACTACGAGCCTCTCCGAGGCTCATACACATTTTTGGGGCGGAAAGATGCATTTTTGGGGGGGAGAAAAGTTGCATTTCTGCTCTGTGATCACTCAAAATACCATTTGTATTTCACATTTCGGACCCTGGCAGGTGCTGTCACCATCCCCCCACCCTCCATCTCCGGTGTCCTGCCTGGGGCAGGGTCCTTTGGGATTCTCCCTTCACCTTCCAGAGATTAAACGCGGTTTGTTCCACCCTAAACATGAGCCTTGTAAGCGCCTCTTTGTGTCACGGGAGCCGCAGCCGATGTCCCCAGGGACTGGCGTGGTTGGTGGCCCCGTCTCCCGCCGGGCACCGGGCAGGGCTCGGCTCTGTGCTGGAACAAAAGCGAGCTCCTCCCTGGAAACGCCGATCCATCACTGGCAAACACGACCTGCTAAGGTAAATATTTAATCGCCGGCTTGGCGCGGTGCGGAGCCCGTTCCTGGCTCTTCCGCATTGCTCCCCACGGTGATTTATCTCCACAAACACGTCCCCACCCGTGGCACTGCCCTGGCACGTGGGGCCCTCGCCCCCCTTGCCCGCCCTGGCAGCAGCAGGGCTTTGGGAGCTGATGGTTCTTTCCCGGTCCAGATATTTTCCAGGTATCCCTGCACAGGGTGGTGGTGGTGGCTCTGTGCCATCCCTGGTGGGTGCTGGATGTCCCCATCTTTCCAGATAGGGACTGGCTGAGACTCTGTGCTCTCCAACTCCTCCAGTGCAGATCCAGCCCAGAATCTGCTGGGCTGGAGATGGTGGAAAAAGTTCTTTTCCCCCCTGTTTCTGGCTGAGGGGCTGCAGTATAAGGAAGGCAGTGGGGCTGTTTGCTTTGGAAGGTGATGGAAAATACCCACGGCAGCCAGGTACATCCCTGAGCCTGAATCTATCCCTAAGCCTGAATCTATCCCTAAGCCTGGATTCATCCCTAATTCTGGATCCATCCTACAGCTGGTTCTATCCCTAAGCTTGGATCCATCCTTAAGCTTGGATCTATCCCTGACCCCGTGTCCATCCCTGCCTCCTGCTCATCCATCCCGAGCTGGACAGTCCGTGCCACCCCACTGTCACTGGGGGCTGTGGTCAATATTCCCGGTGCCCACCCAGTGCCCACCATGCCCAGCTCTGTCCTGCCGGGGCTGTGGGTCTGGGATGAGCCTGGGCAGGAGCAAAGAGACCACGGACCCCCTATCCCCCCATGCTGCCCCGGGCTGGGGCGAGCAGGGCAGGGCCCGGGAGGCTCCCGGGGCCCCGGGGCAGGGCAGGGCAGGCCCGGGCAGGGCAGGGCGGTGCCGCTGCCCTCAGGCCGCCATATGCTGCCTGCCCTAATCCCCGCTGAAGCCTCAGGGCGAGGGAGGACATGGCCGCCCACCTGCGCACCAGCCCCGCCTCAGCGCCAGCCGCCCTGTCAAGGGAAAGATCACGGTGCCCGCGATTGCAAGCTTGGGGAGGGCGTCGCGATACCCCGCCATGTCGCGACAGGGAGGCTGTCAAAACCTCACCCCCCCTCTGAGTGGGAATGGTTCGCCCTGTACCCCCGCTGGTGCACCGGATGGTTCATCCCGCGCCCCGCGGAGCGCGGCCGGACTGCACCACTGCGCGTTGCCGGAGGAGGAGGCGGCGCCCACCACGGCGCCGGGAGGGGGGGGCTCCTCCCCCCCCTCCACCTGCTGTCCATCAGAGCGCGCAGCCGAGCCAATCAGCGCCGCCCTCAGGGGCGCGCCCGTTACGTATGAGCTCATTTGCATACCGAGCCCCGCCCATCTGCCGACGTCACCCGGGCTCCGCATCTGCTGCAGTCGCTGCGGGGAGGAGGCGGCGGCGCGAGCGCGGCAGAGGTGAGACCCCCCCCCCCCCCCGGGACCCCCACCGGGACCCCCCCTCTGCGACACCCCCGCAGGGACCCCCCCCTAGACCCCTCTGTGCCCCCCCCGGCACGGGGAGGGGAGGGGCGGCTGTAGCGGAGGAGGCGGGAGGCGAGGGGGGGGATGATGATGATGATGGATGCGGCGCGGGGGGGGCTGCGGAGGGCCTGGGGGGGGTCTCGGTGCGGCGGGGAGCGAGTGGGTGCAGCGGGGTCGGGCCTGCGGGGAGGAGCAGGGGGTGACCCCCACCCCATCAGCCCCGTGCGCACCCCCTATCAGCACCCTGACACCCCACATCAGCACCCTGACCCCCCCCATCAGCGCCCTGTCCCCCTCCTCGCAGCACTCTGCACCCCCCCACCCCGCAATCAGCACCCTGCGCACCCCCCATCAGCACCCTGACTCTTTCCTTGCACCACTGCATCCCCCCGAACATCAGCACCTTGAACCGCCCATCAACCCCCAGCTCCATCAGCACCCCAAAATGCCCCTCAGCACCCAGCACCCCCTCCCTGCAGCGCCCTGCACCCCCCTCCCCGAGCTCCCCGCATCCCCTCTGCCCAGCATCCCTGTGCTCCATCCCCTTCCAGCCTGGGCGAGCATCCACCTTTGTGCCCCTCCTGCCTGGCATCATCCTCCCCACGGCACTGTGTGCCACCCCACGGCTCCCTGTGCCACCCCACGGCTCCCTGTGCCACCCCACGGCTCTGTGGCACCGCACTGGCCACGGCTGCGGGGGCATCGCCACCGGTGCCATTTTGTCACCGGGAAGATGCGGGAGAGGCTGCGACGCCCCGGCCGCACCCCCAACGCTGCCACGGCAAATTCCGGGAGCTGTGACAATTCCTGGCAGCCCTGGCAAAATCCTGAGAGCCACAACAAGCCCTGGAAGCCACGGCGAACCCCGGGGGCCACGTGCCCCACATTTGCTGTGGAGACACCGCAGGGTCCCTGCTCTGGGGGTGACACGAGGTGGCTTCTCCGAGCCCTTTGGGGCTGAGTGACCCATTGGTGGCCACACCTGAACCAAAATATTCCTGATCCGTGCTGGTGGCGCTGGGAAAAAGCTCCAAACCAGGGCCTGGCACCGCTGGGGTTGCAGCCGCCGGCCCCGTCACGGCCTCTCCTCCACCTTGCAGATGGCGTCCGCTACCGACTCCCGCTATGGGCAGAAGGAATCCTCGGACCAGAACTTCGATTACATGTTCAAGATCCTGATCATCGGCAACAGCAGCGTGGGGAAAACCTCCTTCCTGTTCCGGTACGCCGACGACTCCTTCACGCCCGCCTTCGTCAGCACCGTCGGCATCGACTTCAAGGTCAAGACCATCTACAGGAACGACAAACGCATCAAACTGCAGATCTGGGTGAGGAGAGAGACCCTCGGGGTGCCCCCAGACCCCTGTGATGGGGAGGGGGCGGTGGTTGGTGTGGGGTGATGGTGAGGGGATGGTGGATTGTTTGTCCGGGGGGTAATGGTCACTCTGGGGTGATGGTGGGTGTGGGGTAACGGTGATGGTCAGTGAAGGGTGGTGGTGAGGGGGTGATGGATTTTTGGTGTGGGGTGGTCGTGGTCACTCTGGGGTGATGGTTGGTGTGGGGTAATGATTGTTTGGGTGATGGTCAGTGAAGGGTGGGGGTGATGGTCACTGTGGGGTGATGGTGTGGGGATGATAGATGGTCACTCTGGGGTGTGATGGTCACTCGGGGGTGTGATGGTCACTCGGGGGTGTGATGGTCACTCGGGGGTAATGATCCATTCGGAGCTGCCCCAGCAGGGCAATGCCAGGGTGAGGCTGGCTCTGCCCCCATGAACCCGGTGGCCTTGGCAGGGTGTCACCGCATCCCTGGGGGCGGGGCGGGGGTGACATTGTGCTGTCCCCTGTCCCTGGCCAGGACACGGCCGGGCAGGAGCGGTACCGCACCATCACCACCGCCTATTACCGCGGGGCCATGGGCTTCATCCTCATGTACGACATCACCAACGAGGAGTCCTTCAACGCCGTGCAGGACTGGTGAGCGCCACGAGGGGCTCTCTGGGCACCCCAAACTTCCCCAGCCACCCCCCTCCCCACTGCTCTGAGCCCTCTCTGCCTTTCCCCAAGGTCCACCCAGATCAAGACCTACTCCTGGGACAACGCCCAGGTGCTGCTGGTGGGAAACAAGTGTGACATGGAGGACGAGCGTGTGGTCTCCTCGGAGAAGGGTCGCCAGCTCGCCGAGCACCTGGGTGAGTTGGGGAGGGGGGGACCCCCCGCCAAGGCTGCCAGCCCACAATTAATTTAATTAAGGGCTTAATTCCCTCCGTGTAATCGCTCCACTCTGATATCAGCGGTGACTTGGCACCCAGCGAAAAACCACAGAGTCATTACACACCTTGAGCTCTCTGAGAGATGCTGGGGGCACGATTTGGGGGGTGGTCTTTGGGTGGGAAAAACGGGATTTTGCGGGTGGTGGGGGCAGGTTGCAAACCTTTTAAATATTGAACGAGAGCAGGAGCAGCTGCTCGGGACCAGAGCTTTGATGTGCGTGTGTCCTTTGTCCCTCTGTCCCCTTCCCTCCACGTTGTCCCCATCCCCTCAGGGTTTGAGTTTTTCGAGGCCAGCGCCAAGGACAACATCAACGTGAAGCAGACCTTCGAGAGGCTGGTGGACATCATCTGTGAGAAGATGTCCGAGTCTCTGGACACGGCCGACCCCGCGGTCACCGGGGCCAAGCAGGGCCCCCAGCTCACGGACCAGCAGGCCCCCCCTCACCAGGACTGTGCCTGCTAGGGGCCAGCCCCATCCCCCCAAAAACCCTCCCCAAAAACCGGTCAGTGCACCCCAACCCCCCCCCCCCCCCCGCCCCCTCCAGGCTCCTCCTCTTGGGGGTTTTTGCTGCTGATACCTCCGAAAGGGCTGCGGCCCCTCTAGGAGCTCCCCCCTCCCAATTCATTAGGCTATGCCCCCCACCCTTTAATTTATTTTTAAGCCTGGGCTGGTAGAAAATTCCCCCGCCCCTCCATTCTGCTTTTAATCACTGTCAAGAAACCATCACCCCCAGCCCCATCTCCCCTGGTGATTCCCTTTGTCCTGGCACCTGGAGACCCCCCCGTCCTGGGACCCCCCATCCTGGTACTCCCTGTCCTTTTTCCTGCCCTGGGACCCCCTGTCCTGGCACCTGGAGACTCCTCGATCCTGGTACCCCCTGTCCTGGAGACCCCTGTACCCTGGGACCCCCTGTCCTGGCACCTGGAGACCCCCCCCTCATCCTGGTACCCCCCGCCCTTCTTCCTACTCTGGGACCCCCTGCCCTGGAGCCCCCTGTCCTGGGGATCCCCCTACCCTGGGACCCCCTTTCCCAGCGTGTGGGTGCTGTGACAGGACCCCCCCCCTCCCCAAATTTCCTCCCCTTTACCCCGAGGTGGAGGGGGGGGGCTCTTTGTGCCCGGCTTTCCTGCCCCTCCAGCTGGATGGATATTTCCTGACTCTTGTTTATTTGTATAAATAGATGCTAATTTATGCTCCCGCCGTCTTCCTCCTTGTACATACAGAAATTCCTTGTAAATAGGCGTAGGAAGTGACGCTGTGCGCGTGACCTGCTGTGCTGTGGCCGTGGTGGTGCATTTATATATATATTATATATATATATTCTGATTTTTTTTTCTTTTTTTTTTTCTCTCTCTCAGTGTGGTAACCTTGCTTGTGAATATCACTTTAAAAAAACAAACAAACAAAAAAAAACCAACACCAAAAAAACCCCCCCCCCCAACTGAACAACAATTTTTTAAAAAAAATTTAAAAAAAAAAAAAAAAAAAAAATTCAATCCATCAGCGAGGCCGAGCCAACTGGAGTGAATCTGCCCTGGGTTGGGCTCGTGGGGGGTGAGCAGGGCTGGGACCGTGGCTGGTTTGCTCCAGGGATTTGGGATCTCGTGTTCCTGTAGTTCTGTGCTTCTGTGGAGACTGTGAATAAGTGGATATTCCCGTAGCCATGACAGAGCTGCCCTTTATTTATTTTTCCTGGAGCGCTGTGTCTTTATTTTACAGGTTTCCCTCTATTTCCCCCCACTGTGATTCCATCTCCTTCCCTCCCCTTTCCCCCCTGCCCCTCTTTTTTGTGAAGTTTACTTATGGAAGAGTTACACTGTACTGTACAAATGTCAAAAGTGTCAAAAAGAGTACAATTTCCTAAAAATCACTGTATTAAAAGAAATGTTGTGAAGAAATAAACCGATGCTGATCAGAAGTTCCTCGGGGTCCCTGAGTTGCCAGAGAGGAGCAAAATTAATCTGATTTTTTTTTTAAATTATAATCTCCCCAAATGGCTGTTGAGGGAGGACTTGAGTCCCCCCATCCCGGGGACCAGGACACAGAATTAAGGCACAGCTTTAAAAATGGGGGAAAAAAAAAAAAAAAATCCCATTCAGGCACTTTTCATTGACAACGCAAATAATTCAGTTCTTGGCTTATGCAGGCAGCACCCAGCTTGCCCAGGGCTGGGAGCAGAGGGATGTGATGGCCCAAACTCTGCCAAAATTTGGCTCCAAACCCTCCCCCCCTGCCTCCCAAAAGCCGCAGAGCCGAGGGTGCAATCACAACCCTATTTATAGAGGATCCAGGTGGCTGCAGCCCCCGCCCGGAGCTGAGGCAGCGAGGGGGGAGTGGAGTGAATTTATCCTTGAGCTGGAAGAGAAAAAAAAAAAAAAGCAGGAGGGGAAGGAGAGAGGAACTGCAGGGAGAGCAGAGGGGCGGCTGGAGTGAACCACGGAGTGGGTTTGGGTTGGAATGACCTCAAATCCCATCCCTTCCCACCATCCCAGGGTGCTCCAGCCTGGCTTTGGCCACTGCTGGGATGCAGATGGTCTGGGAATTCCATTCCAGGGCCTCCCCACCCTCACAGGGAAGAATTCCTTCCCAGTGTCTACTGATTGGGGATGCAGGTGGCTGGAAGGTGCTGGAGGAGCAGCACGGGGCTGGTTTTGCTCTGGAGAGGGAACAAATCCAGCCAGGAACCTTCCCAGGGGCTGCAGCAGCTCCTCCTCACCCCGGCTCCGGGGGCAAATTCCCAGAAGAAATCACTTTACAGCTTATCCTGCAACAAGAGATTGTTACAACCCCAACCCATGGCTGTAATTAGCAGATGAGTTAATCAGCAGCAGGTACGTGGAGGGCTGGCTCTGGCCATCCATTCCCTCATTCCACAGTGCCCAAAAATCCATTTGGTGCAGGCAGGAGCCTCTGGAATGGCCTCGTCCCCTCTCTACGCCCCGGCGCTGCGCTGGCTCTGCCGCGGTGGATCCTGGAAAAAAAAAAACCAAAAAAAAAAACCCCAAAACCAACAAAAAAACCGGGAATATCGGGATGAGCTGAGCATTCCCGCGGCCGGGAAGGGGCTGAGGGGCGGGGCTCACCCGGTATTTGAGGTAGGACAGGTACGTGTCCCAGCCCAGAGTCACCACGTTGACATAAACCACGCGGTACGTGGGTGGCACAAAGAGGAAATTCAGGATCTGCGCCGCCGGCCACACGCACCAGTCAGCCTGGAAAAGGAGCAGGGAGCAGCTGGAGCTTCCCAGCGGATCCCAGCAGGTGAAAAGGGACAGCCTGGGGTGGGGGGGGGTACCTTGTAGAATTCCCAAAATTTCTCCTTCAGCTCGTCCCAGCTCTCCTGGAGAGATTGGCCCTCCAAGGTGCCGATGCCTGCGGGGACAAGGCGGGGTCAGGGCGGATGGGAGCGCTCGTTCCGGGCTGGGAATTGCGGCGGGAATTGCTGGGAAATGCCCCAAACCCCTCCCAGTGTGGGCGGGGAGGGAGTTCCAGGAAATGCAAAGGAAAAGTGAAAGGGAAGGGAAGGCACTGATCTGTCTGGGGCCCCAGGGAAGGGCTGGAGCTGTGCCAGGGGTTTGGGATGGAGATCTGGGAAAGGTTCAGGGAATTTGGGATGGAGATCAGGGAAAGGTTCAG